GAGGGACTTCGATTGAATCAATTTTCCATTGAGTCACACCTCCACTTTGGAAACCCCCTTACTTACCATTTTGTTTAAACTCGAGGTTTTTAGGCACTAGAAGTCGGTTTATCTTTCGATTAAAACAAGGAAACGTGTTTTATGTATTCACTTGGCTAATTTACAGAGATTTTCTCGTCTTTGGCATACGATTTATCACTTTCAGCGCACTATCCTTGCTCGTTTGATTTAGCTTAGTTAGTTTTCAGAGTTTTACACACGCACACACCGTTTGACCATCGCTATAGGGTTTCTTGGTTTCTACATCATTATCGGGGAGCTGCTGGATGCTGCGACTGCGACTGCTGGACCTTACTGGACAACAACTGGACAGCGACTGGGCGAGCGTGCGCTTTTTACATTCAAATCAAAAACACTGAAATAAGTTTGATTTCACGCTGTCGCTTTACTTTTATACCGACTCGTAGTCGTAGGAGCGGAGTTGGCTGTCCGTCGACGCCGGCGCAGCGTCGGCGCAGAGCAGCGGCGCCGACCGCTCATTTTAGGCGAGCGGAGCGTGTGAGCCGAAGTCGCAGCCGAAAGCTTTCGGCCAAGTTCTGAGCAACAGGTTGCACGGCTACTTCGCCTCTCGCTCTGGCAGCCGGATTATGGGGACGTTCGGATTTTGTGCTTTAGCGCTTGTGGGCAAGGACGCCAGAGCCAGAGCGACCAGTGGCCCGGCCCTTTGGAATCGTATTTACACGCGAAATTTGCACCCACGCCCAAGGGCGGCGCTAATTACCACCAATCTTATTCTCGGAACGGGACTTTTTAGCTCGTCACGGCATCGATGATTGCACCGCTCAAAGTTCTCAAAAATATCCATTAATTAACCCTAGACCGCCCTTTCATGTCGGAAAAGTGTGCAAAAAATTATAATATCCACATACAATATCGGCTTAGAGAGAGCGGAGTAAAGATACCCAGCAACGAACCCAAGTCGATGAATATTTATTTGGACAAAAGCAGAAGGGGCTGCTAAACCAGTTCCGCGTGGGCTCTTGAATATTTATAATGCCCTAGTCTTCATTTTTCTCTGTTTGCCTTCGTGGTGTTTAATAAACGGCCAAAATGCGCGGTGAACTTGTGAAAAAACAAAGCTCCCAAATGGGAAGAGCGACTTCTATTGCTCGCATAGTCCAGGCAACCTGACATATACTTAATAAAAACCTTATGTACTTGACTTTATGTGGGCTCGACAATTAGAGTAGGGGTTACCAACCGCATCCGGATCGAACTTTGACAGCGGTTTTGGTTGAGTATTTACTTACCCTCAATTAACGACCCTTCTACTACTTTGATTCTAATTTACCTGCTAAAAGTCTCACCATTGCCTCACAGATTCAGTGCGCTTTTCGACAAAAAAAAACCAAAGTAATGCAACAAAGCAAACATTTGCTTCTTTGGTCTAAAGTTCGCTGCATGGCCGCAGCGTGCAAGATCTTTTTGCGGAATTCTAACCGAATAACACGTAACTGACCATGTAATCTAGCCGCGCCATATTAGCATGTGCAAACAGTTGGTTGAATATGTATGAATTGGTAGCCCTTTGCTGATCCCATCTAACAGATCCGAAACACGCGTCTACCATATTGGGGAGTTTTTGAATACAATCTTCTCAAGGGCTTTTCTGGTGGCTGTGTGACTAAAGGAAAAATTTTTTATGGATTGATCTTAGATCAGCGGGACGAGCCTTATATGGATGGCCAAAGGTTGTCTGAGAATATTGTTATGATTCTTAAACATTCCATTCTTTAAACAAGTTGACGAATCTTATAAATTTTTAAGAATATGTTTCACAAAAACCTCTGTTGAAATAAAGACAATACAGTCTAATATTTTTTTGCTACCGAAATAGTTACGTTGCCTGTAAGCCACGCGTCTTATATCATATTTTAATGTGAACTTAAAAACCAACAAATGCTTACTTGATAACCAAATAAGACCCTGAGTTTGCGCAAAAATTTACATGCAAATCCAAATGATAACCTAATGTGGTAATATATAAATATAATGGTATGGTATGGTATATAAATAAATATAATTTATATTTAAATTTTTGTTTTCAGGAAAAATGCGCTCCAGATTTATGAGCAATTTGAATATAGATATTCAAATATGTTGATTTTTATACCCTTTACTCGTAGAGTAAAAGGGTATATTGTATTCGTGCAAAAGTATGTAACAGCTAGAAGGAAGCGTTTCCGACCCTATAAAGTATATATATTCTTGATCAGGGTCACTAGCCGAGTCGATATAGCCATGTCCGTCTGTCCGTCTGTCTGTCCGTCTGTCCGTCTGTCTGTCCGTCTGTCTGTCCGTATGAACGCTGAGATCTCGGAAACTATAAAAGCTAGAAGATTGGCATTTTGCATGCAGATTCTAGGAGTTCCTACGCAGCGCAAGTTTGTTTCAAAAAGGTGCCACGCCCCCTTTAACGCCCACAATCGCTTATATACGATTTTAAAAATTTAAATATTTCGGAAAAGTAAAAATGCAGTTTTATTGTGTTTATCAATACATATCGAAATGTAGAAGAACTTTTTCAAGTCGGACCATTCGTTAAAAAGTTATGCGTGATCAAAGTTTCTATCTCCATCTCCCTCGCACTCCCTTTACCTGAGTAACGGGTATCTGATAGTCGGGGCACCCGACTATAGCGTTCTCTCTTGTTTTACATTTGCATTATGCATTCGCAAAGTTAAAGGAACTTAGCCGCAACAATTTCATTTGCCCGATCGATTTCACATTTTCCGCTTGTCCGTCTTCTACTGACCATCAGATCAGATCGAAATAAGCGTGCCCTCGACTGCCGCAACCGTCCGGTTTTTTCGGCTCGACAACAGCCTCTTCCGGTGCTCATCCCAGGGGTACAATGACTTTTTTGCGGAGGCGCTTCGCAGTGTTATGTCTGGTGTTTTGGTTTTTGCGAGCACACGCCGCGTATGCTTAATGGCACAACCTTCGGCCCAGAAACATTGACTTCAGTTCGGGTTTCAATCGGACAAACCAACTGACGACCGTAATGATGCCACGCAGATGGACCGCGTCCAATTTTGCCCAGCATCTGGTGGGAGTGGGTGTCGATCGTCGACCAAAGTCATTGTTTACTGGGCCAAGCTTAGGAGTGTTTTTGTGCTTGTTTTTGGACTCTCGTTGGTAATATTGGCCTCATCCGCGCTTGGCGATAATAAAAAAACTTGAGTTCAAGGTTGCGTCTCTCGTAAAATTACCGAGACTATCAATTCACCCTTATACGGAATAAATTCTAAATCGGACTGGGCTAATGAGCATTGGAGAGGAGCGCAAAAGTAGAATTATCTAGGAATATGGTCACTTAGTCCAAGTCCGAGTCGCTTGGACTGCACCTCCCTGCAGTTGTGCAAGCCGAAATGATTGATGCCGGAGTCTCAACAGCCCTCAAAGCCACAAAGGCTGCCGCCACGTTGCATTGCAACACCTGGGCACTGAACGAAAATCGAAAACCTAGAATCTACCAAATTACGTAGAAAGCACTTTGACTTTGACGTATTAAACAGTTTTTGAGTACTAAATAACGAAATTTTTTAATTTAACTTACCTTAATTATTTTTGGTTAATTTCTAAAAAATTGGTTTATATTTTGTTAAATTTTAATAAAAACTGTTAGTTCTTTATTTTTGATACAAAAGAATTGTTTTTAAAATCAAAGTCGAAAATACATTCATACATTCATACATACATACATTCTTTATTTTTCTGTAATAATTACTCACTGTTGCCTTCGATTTTTGTTTAGAGGTTAATATTTTTATATTAAATTATATACTAATAAAACTTATGATGAAAAGAAAAAGAAATCATCAATTTTTCCTTCCCTTCATTTTAGTTTCAGTGTAGCGAACCCATAGGTGATACTGCTGGTGCTTTTTTGATTATTAAATAACGGTTAAGTCAAGTGGCATTTTCCGATTCTGCAAATCATTCTCGCCTTTACATTAACGTGGAATTTTCGTCTGAGGCAATGCAATCGAAAGTGTGAAATACCAAAGTCAGGAAAGAATAATAAACCGAAACACGAGTCATTCTCCTGACACCCGTCCCCCGCCGAACCCGTGATTATAATTCAAGCACAATCAAGACCTGCCAATTTCGATTTAGCACATGTACATAGAGATGGCCGTACGCTTAGAAAAATATTTAAAACAATAAACCTCGACTTGACTTCCCATTCAGCGCCATTTCGACCACATTTCTTGACTGCCCCCAACAAGTTCCGAACGATCCGATCGATCTACGGCCAGCTCGATCCCCTCAAAGTCCAGAGAAGACGCAAACTGGTGACGAGGGCGAAACAGATGAAGACGCAGAGATGGAGATGAAGATGAAGATGGAGATGGGGTTTAGTACGCGCATAAAAACAAGAGAGACATTAGAAATTGCGCAAGGCGTTCGTGTTTGAACATTGATCGGCCATCGTGAAATTATATCAAGGTCAGCTGGTTGACACAAAAACCAAACGAATCAGCTAAATAACATTAATTGATGGATCTGTGCGATCCAAGTCAGGCAATTCGTTAGCCCTCCAGCATGGGGGAATAATCTGCACTGCGGATTTGCATAAGAAGAGGCAGTCAATTTTAAATGAATTAAATTAAGATATATATTAAATGCATTTCCTTTATTTTTTTCGATTGCGCAAACAAGTTTTTATTCACATGCAAAGTGTGGCCGTAAAACGAGCAAGTAACGGTAAATAAAATGCATTTACGATAACTAACGTTTATTTATATTATTTATGAGCAGTTTGATTGATTTGAATAAATAATTCGAGCGCGTAAGTAGACACACTGGTTTGGGTCTAGATTTATAGTAAAACAAAGTTATGCCCTTGCTGGGGAGTGTGACCACTTTCTGCATGGCGTTTTGGTATTATTTACGAAATCAGCGACGAGACCACTGCAAAAACGTAAGTAAGAAGAAGAGCACAGCACAGGTCATAAGAATGGAATCCCAAGTGACGATCCACAGATATTACAGCCGACAAGCCAAGTATTCCGGATCCGCTGATCCAGACCTGGAGCTCTGCATCAAGCACTGTGGCGGGGACGTGGTCAGAATGGAATTGGTGAACCGGCTCCATGGAATCCAGCTGCAGCACAAATTGCGCCGGTTACTGCTGCTCTTGTTCCTAGCTATCGCCTATTTTGTCGGAGTATGCGGTTTCGGGAGCAGAAGCCTGGGCATTCTGCAGCCCCGTATCCTGTACCCTCTGGTTACCTGTGTTTCCGTGGCCATCCTGATGCTCCGATCCACTCTGAACTTGGTGCAGGCAGAACGATTGTTCTACAGCTGGGACATGGCTCTTCAGACGGAAACGGTGCGGTCCTTCGGCAGGGAATCTGTGCTGTGCATCCAGCGAGGGCACATACAGGACATTGTGCTCAACGAAGTCATTGAAGATGTAAGAACAACATACATACACTTCTTAATTTATACAAAATTATTTTTGAGTTTAAAATGCCGAATTTGATATATGTAGATATCTACAACAAGCATGTTATCATCTTCAGCTGACATATCAGAACAATCAGCATTAATACCAATACCCGCATTGTCCTATACCGAAGTTTCCTATAAATCTCTAATGGTTTCTGTAATAAGTTAAAAAGGTTTCTGAGACATCAAAATTTGACTTTCACTTGGACAAGATTTATTTATATGCCATTAATGCTGTTTTTATTTTAAATTGTGACATTTTTTCTTCTTACTATTTCTGTATCAGTTAGATGTGAAGTATATGCTAATATTACGAACCAAAGGAACCCAGTTTAAGAAGCGGCCCATTGTTCCCCTGTTGACTGTAAGTTTCGCTGTCGTTACCCTTTTCCCTTATCTAATGTGTAAACTCTTGAATCCCAGAGCCAATCTCCGTCGTTTGAATGTCTGCAGCATTCATATCGCGTCCTGCATGGATATTGGCTGAACAGCGCCAAGGATCGATCAGAGCAGTCCTACAACAAGGACAAACAGTCCATAGTGAAGTCGTAGTCTTTAACCATATTGCTGAACTGTTTTAAAAAAAGTTTTCATTAAAAATCGAGACTGTTAGTACATATTAAACAATTTTACCACTACTGTGGACGTGGTTTTCTCATCTTCGGCAGGCAGGGGTGGTAATGATGGAACATTCAACTCCGATTCCACAATGTTAAAATCAGCCCGAACCTGTAAGCATAGACCTCTGGGTTTATTAAGCCCCAAATTTTTTATTTCACGCTCCCGTACTAAATTGTTCAGCTCTGTTCTACATTTCTTTTTGAGGACTTGACGATAGGTCTTCAAGTAGGTATCCTTGTTGCTGTTTAGCTCCTTCTGGATATTCTGCAGATCAATCAGTTGCTGAAGCGTTAAATCTGCAAATATACATTTTTATTTTAATCAAGATATAATTAATACCGCTCACCTTCCATGGCGTCTCTTTTTGTTTTGAAATAAGGCCTGTGTTGGTAAGCGCTGAACTTGAATGAACGGTCACGGTAAATACTCCCTTTATGCTACTAATCTATACATAAAACTGGATTAAAAAAAGCAAACTTATCGATAGACTTCGAGTTATACCGTCTTCTCACAGAGATCCATCCAACATCCGTTGAACCAAAGATCAATATAATCTCTAAAGCCTAGTATCCAGATCGACGAAAACCGTACGCCAGTCATGAGAGAGAGCGAGAGGCGAACAGCTGGCGTTCACTTTTCGTCGGTCCTTTTTTTTACCATCGGTCCACAGATCGACGAAAAAAATACCAGAAAATTCTATAGCGTTGCCAGTCTGCGGAAATGAACTTTGGGTGAACCCTAGTGAACTGTTAAATTAAAAATTGTAATCTTTTGGCGTGCTCTTCTCACTGAACATTATAAGAAATGTAGGAAAAAACTCAAAAAACTCACAAAAGTCGATTGCAGGTGCTTACATGTGAGGACAAAATAACATTAATACTATCTGGGGTGCCTCTTGTCAGAGCAAAATGTTTTTTAGGTCCAGAATGTACGAAAAAACACAATAAAAGTAAAGCTATGAACTTTAAATTAGCAAATAATTATCAGTAATTTAAAAAAAATAACTGTTAAATTTAAATTGTATTTTTTTTTTAATTTCTTTGTACAGCGGCAGACTTGTCTTGCCAAGGTATTTGATAATATCTTTTAAAGGCTCTTTCCCGCAAATACGATATTTGAATTTTAACTGCTTGTCAACAAACCCAGCTGATTGACAGTACGACCGTAGCACGCTTAAATCTGATGAACTCCCAAACTTTTGGTCACACTGAAAAGATTAAAGTTTTTACGCTAGCGTAATCGTTTGTCGATCTGGATACTAGGCTTAAGATGCGTAACGCCATACGATTTTTTTGCACACGAATTTTTTGTGCTGGCTTTTCAACTGGCTTTTCGCTCTCTGCCCAAAAGCCAGCGAGAGAGCGCTCTAGAGCCAGCCTCTCTCTTGCACGCATACTGCGACAGCCGCCGACTGTATGTGTGCACATGTATTCACAAGCGAAGAAATTCGCTGCACCGCGCTGTCGAAATATACTCTTTATTTTAAAATTCTAACACTAATAAAAATTCCTATTTTGTATTGCCTGTATATAATAATTATTCGAATGTAGAATATTTTTTTGTAATGACCAAATATTTCTAAGTATATAAAAATACATACATATTTATTTCATACATGACTTCACTTTGGAATAATTGTCATTAGGGTATTCAGCATACGACGTGTGAACGATTTTTAGGGGCCTCAGAAATTTTGCGATTGAACAGGATGAATATTTTTATATTTATTGTATTTTAAATATATGGATTTAAAAATATGTGGTATTTTTATATTATACTTATTAAAATCTCTATATATAAAACTGTTCATTGAAAACTAGAATCAACGCACAGCCTAAACTAATTAAATGACCCTATTAAAATTTTGTACCATTCAATTCTTATAACACTAAACTGATTTGCTAAGATTTATTTTGGCCACAAACATGCCCCCATTTTCTTTCAGTGGCAAAAAACCCCCAGTTTCTATAAATAATTCTGGACGCTAAACGCGTTAATCAATCGATGCGATTTTTGGCCAAAATTTAGTCCTCTACATAATAAAGATTCTATTTAATTTAATATTCGATATTTTAATGTTTACTATTTTTTATCGATCTTTGAAAATCTAAGAATCTTCCTCATTTTTTCCAAACGGCAAAAAAACACTGATTTAAGTCAATTAGCAATATGAAAATTTATCGAGGGAATCCTGATACTTTAAGGATTCATATGGTGGTTTTACTGAAGCTCTAGGTCAAATTTAAAAAAAGTTACATTAGCCTAAAGTAGGAATAATAATTCCAACAAATTATACACAAGCATTGAACACCGAATGCATTCTCTCGCACTGTCTCACTCTCTCTCTCTCTCTCTGACTCTGTGTAGTACAATAATTGTGCGGCGGCTGATCTTGATTTATTTTTAGAACTTAAAATTAAAAACTTAAAACTAAATTAAACTTAACAATAAATTAACAAAAAATTAAAATTAAATTATACAAGCAACACACACGAATAAACCGTCAAAGCGTTCAAGCCGCTGGGCTTTGTGAAAAGGGCAGGGGGGCAGTCATCATCTCTATATATAAAGCTATCAGTAAGAAAACTGGGGCTTCCCAAGTGGCCCCAATCGATTCCAATTGGAAAAAAGGTCAATTTTCCTTTCAAAAATTCTGGACGCTAAACCGTTTTAGCAATCGAATCCGTTTTCGCCCAAAAATAGTTTAAGACATTATAAATGTTTAAAAAATTTGACCGCTTAGATTTAAGGCTTTTTACTATTTTTAACACCCGTTCTAAAATTACAATTTAGCCAAAAATATCTTCAAACTGAGTATCAAAAATTCCTTCGGTAAAGTTTTTCCTTAAGCTTTAACGATTCATTTAATGGTTTTACCAAAGCTCTAGCTATCTTCTAAACAAAGAAATTAAGCAAAAAGTCGATCTTTTATCGAATTTAAGTGTCTCCATAAGCATCATACGTTTTCTGCCTGCATATTGCTATCTCTCTCTGCATTTTCATACAAATTGTCAACAAATGATTCCATCTCCCTCCCTCTCTCTCTGCCTTGCATTTCCGTACGCTTCCTTAAAAATATAAAATGAGCTTTAATACGGTTTTAATATCTGTAGACATTAGTTTATAGTTATTGGTGACCCAAAAGATTGCAAAGACTTCAAAATGGTCATTAACGCTGATAAAAAGCCAGCAAATGCTCATAGAGGTCGTTATGCACCTCAAACAAATGAAGTGGGTTTGGTATTAGTTGATCAACAATTTTCAAGTCGGGACATTGTTATTGAGAGTCATAATAGCAAAGTGAACTTTAAAGATCTTATGACTGTCTACAATATCCATTAATTTTTTGCCACGGATATGATGGATATTCCATAAATATTCCCCAACGGGATCCGTTAACAAAAATGATCTAAAGAAGACTGTATCTGCATTTAGCTTTTACAGTTATCGAATAATTCTAAGGGAGACTAAAGTCAATCACGTGCATTATTATTGAGCTCTGTTTAATCAATTTTTGGTTGATATGAGTGCAAAAATGGAAACCGAACGGCTTAATTATATTCGAGCAAATCAAAAAAAGTTGGGAGCAGAAAGTAACATATGTACATCTTCAAGACGCTATAGGTAGGGGAGATGCAGATATGACTCAACTTGGTTAAATGGTGATTTTACCTTCCACTTTTACAGGCTCTCCTCGATATATGCATGAAAAGACCCAGGATGCTATGACTTATGTTCGACATCATGGCGGACCTGATATTTTTATAACATTTACCTGTAACCCTAAATGGGAGAAAATAACGAATGAGTTGTTCCCAGGCCAAAAACCTCAGAATCGTCATGACCTGATATCTCGAGTCTTTCATTTAAAAGTTAAAACATTAATGGCGCTGTTGGTTAAAGGCCAATTGTTTGGTGAAGTACAGTGTTTTATGTATTCTATTGAATAGCAAAAACGTGGTCTGCCCCATGTTCACATACTTATTACATAAGAAAAGTAGAATATTGGGGTTATCCATCGCAAGCGAAGCTGCGGGCACCCTGCTAGTAACATTATATAAAATTATTATCGTAATATAAATTCAATTATTTAAGTACGAAAAAAACGATGGATAAATAAAAATTAATATCTGCATATTAAATTACATGTTTCGTTTTATATATTTAAATTAAATATAAAAACATACCTTTTAACACAAAACATATAAAACTGCTTGATTAAATAAGAAAATATTTAAATGCAGGTTGATAATATTAGATATGGTGTTATTCGTATTTACTTTAAAAATTTTAAGTCATTAAATCAAAGTTTAATATATTTGAATACATATTAAATTAAATATTTCCATTTTAAAGTTAATAAAAAACAGCCATGGATAAAAAATAAAGCGAAATATATTTTATTAAATATCCTTTAAATATATTCAATTTAAATACAGTTCGCTTTGTTTTTGTTTAACAATCATAGTATATTCAAATCAATTAAACTTTATTGAAATATTTTTAAATTTAATCATATATGTTTTGTATTAAAAGTTATGTTTTTAGCTTTAATTTAAATATGTAAAACGAAACTATGAATTAAATATGCCGATACTCGTTTTTAAGGTATATAAAAAAGTTGTACATCAAGCTTCATTGCCATATATACATAAATGCAATTTAAACAAGAGAGAACGCTATAGTCGGGTGCCCCAACTATCAGATACCCGTTACTCAGGTAAATGGAGTGCGAGGAAGATGGAGATGGAAACTTTGATCACGCATAACTCTTTAACGAATGGTCCGATTTGAAAAATTTCTTCTACATTTCGATAGGTATTGATAAACACAATAAAACTGCATTTTTACTTTTCCGAAATATTTAAATTTTTAAAATCGTATATAAGCGATTGTGGGCGTTAAAGGGGGCGTGGCACCAAACAAACTTGCGCTGCGTAGGAACTCCTGGAATCTGCATGCAAAATGCCAATCTTCTAGCTTTTATAGTTTCCGAGATCTCAGCGTTCATACGGACAGACAGACGGACAGACGGACATGGCTAGATCGACTCGGCTAGTGATCCTGAGCAAGAATATATATACTTTATAGGGTCGGAAACGCTTCCTTCTACCTGTTACATACTTTTGCACGAATATAATATACCCTTTTACTCTACGAGTAACGGGTATAATAAACATCCTATTCAATCATAGAAGTTCTTTTGACACACAATTAGTTTCTAAGTCCAGAAATGATTTCTGGACGAAAATCGTCTTCTCCAACAAATACGCACTTCCTTATTCGTGCAATTCTATTTTTAGATTTTTACGCTCTCATCTTTATGCGAGCGGAGAGAGCGGAAATTTAAAAAATAATGGCGGGTAACTTTTGAAAAAGGAAGGCGCCAAATCAAAAAATACTGTTTATACTTGTACACCTTGGAGAACGCTAGTATGTCCCCAGACTTATATGTGTGGTTTACAATTACTAATAAAATATATTTATTGCAGGTACTAGGGAATACTTTTTGAAGGTCTTAGATGTGGACCCCAATGACATGGACGCTATTGCAGCGGAAGTCAACGCTCAGGAAGCTCTGCGGCCCACGCAAAGCGCAAAGAGGTGGACCACAAGGCCGAGCTTGTGGAGATAGCGCTCGAGAAAAGATGGAGGACCAGCGAGGGCAGGCCGAGATCATATCATTGAAGACGCACTTCCGAACCACCAGTTTGGTTTCCGTAGTCGCCATAGTGCTATCGAGCAAGTGCACAGAGTAATTAACCATGTTCTGGGGGCTTTCGAAGACCACAAATACTGCTCAGCCGTTTTTCTCGACGTTCGACAGGCCTTTGACAGGGTTTGGCACGAAGGACTGTTCTTTTGCCTGAAATGCTGTGGAATCTCACTGTATCGTTCTAAGATAATAGGGTGTTTGCTGTAGATATTCGTGGACACCGTTCTGGACTTCGCCCAATTCGTGCTGGTGTCCCGCAGGGAAGCGTCCTTGGTCCGGTCCTGTATACAATTTACACTTCGGATCTTCCAAACCCAGTTGCTCGTGGTACACTCCTGGCCACAAATGCAGATGACACTGCATTTCTTGCAGCTGGTAGCACCACTACGTCTGCGTCCCGACGTGTCCAGACATTCTTAGACGAATTTGAGTGCTGGGCCTCTCGATGGAACATTGCGCTTAATGTTGACAAAACGCAGCATGCCACTTTTGCTCTCCGCCCTGGCCGTTCGCGTAGCCTTTACATTGATGGGAATATGCTCAAGCACGAAGATAAAGTGACGTACCTCGGAGTTACCTTAGACCGTCGCCTTTGTTAAAAGGGACAAATTGATCGAGTTTGTGGATCAGCAAGAACGAAACTTGACAAAATGGACTGTCTCCTTCGTCCAAGTAGCGGCCTATCCCTTGATGCCAAGGTGCGGCTTTTTAAGGCCATTGTCCTTCCAACTTTAAACTGGGGAATCACTTGCTGGGGCACAGCCTGTGATTCGTCACTAAAAAGGGTGCAAACATGCATTAGAAAGGCTCTCAGGAGGATGCTAGGGGTGAAGTGGCACCATTATGTAGAAAACCGAGTTATGTTCCAGGACACGGGAGTGACGACGGTAACGGAGACGATTTGTAAATCCTCAAGTCGATACCGGGAACGTTTGCTCACACATGCAAACTGTCTGGCAAGACATCTTGCAACACCACTGGGTCGACGGCGCCTCCGCAGACGACTCTCGGCAGACTTATGGATTCTCGGCCGTGACAGACACGGTCGTCTTCTGTAATAACACATCTTGATTAACTTTTGACCGGCTATGACCACACCTGATTTGCTCAAGAATGGAGCACCCGCTACCCGCTTTTTTTGGAATCTTTAGAAATAATTCGTCAATACACGAAAACAAGGTCCATCCTTGTGTGGCAAGTGCAACAATATAAAAAAAAAAAAAAAAAAAATTGAATTGAGCCTGGTTGTCTGCCATCCTTAACATTAAAATAATATTAAATTATAATAAAACAAAAAACAAACATTTATATATATATAATGAACTTGATTTGTTACCATTTAGACAATATTGGGCAAAAGCGGTTCATATTTGTTTTGCAGGCTGGAAAAACTCTGCAGACATATTAGTTCGATTTGGTTGTTTGCGTATATCACTTGCAGTCTGTTACCAAGTATCATTTATAACGCTGTTGTGCTCATTTTAAATGTTGTGCAAAATGCAACGGGCTAAAATGATGAGCAACAGCTGTTCAGATCAGCTGTTATCGGATGGTAAATGTGCTCTGTGGGATTCGGAGTTTCACATTTGTCAAAAATTCCAACCGTTTCGAACGGATGGACTCCATGGGAAGAGGGTATAAAGCCTAGTATCCAGATCGACGAAAACCGTACGCCAGTCATGAGAGAGAGCGAGAGGCAAACAGCTGGCGTTCACTTTTCGTCGGGCCTTTTTTTCACGTCGGTCCCCTGATCGACGAAAAATCTGCTCCATCTGAGTACCGAGGTCGTCCAAATTTTTAAATTGTCATTTTTTTTTAATTATTTACAATCAACTTCAAAAATGTACCTATTAAAATGCTTATTATGGAGCACAAGGCCGCTGTTGCGGAATAAGCATTCAGGGTTTAGAGTTATAAAACGGTTTGTTCTTTGTTTTGATTTTTTGATACGGTTGGTCAAGAATTTTAATTAGGTGTCAGTCATATTTTTTCCGTCATTGAACTTCGCTTAAAACTGTGTAAGTGGTGACCAGTGCTGCCATACACTCCCAAGCAAAAATTGCTAGATTTTGAAAAAAAAAGTTTCTAGAAGTTGCTGAAAATAGGCAAAAAATGATAGATCAAAAACATTTAACTTTTAAACTAAATATATATATATATGTATATATTAAAGGAAAAATAGAAATTTAAAATATAAATAAATAACAGTTAAACAATCGGAAGGACACTCGAGGCAGTGTGGAGAGCACCTTATGAGCATAGAAAAGTGGCAGCAGAGCTGCACAGATCCAAGTTACGCAAGTTCTGCTACTGCGAACATGTCTCCGTATGTGTGGTGACTTCTGGTCTTATCTCTAAGAATTTTTCTTTCCATTTTCATTTTATTTATTTAGTATTTGTCCTTTTTATAGAAATAATAACAATCAACTCTTTTATAGTAAATAATGTCCTAACAAATTTTTTTTTTTTAATTAGAGTGAATCCGCTCTCAATTTTTTTCTTGATATAAGCATACATATCTGATGTTTACTGTAAGTATCGGCTATTTGCCAGTGTTGGGAAGTGTCTCATTTCACAGCCCTGCCCGCCTGACGTAATTGTCTAAAATCGACATATTTTTGTTTATGTGCGCCCGCTCCCCCGCCCCCAAAAAGCGTGTGGGAAGCTGCTGCCGCCCGCTCCCAATGACCACGCCTGGAAGCGAATATTATTTAATCCGCCACCTCCTCCGAAGTTCCTCCTCGCTCCGATGAGAATCATCTGTTGCTGACCGCAGAACACCACGCAAAAGTAAGCAGTCTGAAAAAATGAATTCCATATGAACATGGAGGAGCTCAACACCTTTTTTTTTGTTTTCGCCTACAGTTCACCGCTTTTCTTTGCCAAGATGAACCGCTCTGAACCGATCAATATTCGGAGGGAGCGTTCCTTCGACAGCGTTCTGAATCGCCTGCTCCGGATGAGGTCCCAGAACCATGAGAGTTTTCGCGCCGCCATGTATAACTTCTTAATTGCCGCGGGAGTAGCGGCGTTCGTGGCCGTCTGCATTATCCTCGGTCCCTTCGTCCGGCCGCTGCTGTGGGCCTTCCTCATGGGCGCAGTGCTCTTCCCATTTAAGCGACGACTGGCGGAGAGCGTGAACAGATGGTTCAATCGTCTGGAGGAGCGCGACTCAAACGTACTGGTGTCCATCTGCCTATCCCCGCTGGAGGCCACGGAGCACTGTGGCCGGCTGCTGATCGGATGGCTCTGCGAGCATTGGCAGTTGCTCCTGGCCGGATGCGGAGTGGCCGGGTGCATTAAGCTGTTGGTCCTGTACGCTCCCAAGGGCTTCCTGCTGGCCCTCTGGTACTGGATCACTTTTTCGCACGGGTTGTTTGTTCAAATTATTGGATTCCTTAACGTCTATGTGGTATGTAGTCTATGAGTTCTATTTTTAATGGTGTATCATTACACGGAGGAGAATCACGTTCGCACTTGATTCTACATTCGGTCATACATATGTACATACATATGTATATAAAAAGTATGATTTCTTACAAAACTACATACATTGAACATGGCTGCCCAAATTTTTAAATTATTCTTAAATTAATTATTTTGTTTTTTTTTAGTTTAATATTTATTTTTAAAAATTTGTATTTTTAAAAATATTTTTTAATATATATAGGCGTTAATATACATGGAAATCTTCATTTCTAAATAGGTGCTTCGTAGTTTCAGATTTGAGTACACTATTCTCGAAATTTGTATAAATACTCATTAATCGATTCTTCAAACTAAAAACATTAATATTTTTGTTTTAATTTTGAACAGAAATTAAACTATTTTTACATGTCAAATTATAAAAATCAAATTTTATTGCTTATAAAGTAACGTTTAAAAAAAGAAATAAAAAAATGTTAAGCCTAAGAAAAAATTCATATAATTTCACAGCCTTCAATCTATTTTCTCAAGTGCTGACATTTGATCTCAAAAGATAAAGTTATCTTTTCTTTTCACACAGCTCATCTCCGTGGTGCTGGTCTACTTGAGCTGCGTCCACTTCTTTTGGAAGCCGGAAAACAGCTCTCATTTCGTGATTGCCGGTCAATCCATGTGGATAGCCGTTGCAGGCTACCTAAGTAGCTTCCTAGGTGCCCTGCAGGTGCCTGTGTTCCTGCTGGTCATGGCCTACGTAACAGCATCCACTGTATACCACCTGCAGACGATAGATGACTCTGGATCCTACCTTCACCGCCTGCAGAAACTGTTCGACAAGAACGATTTCGAGCGATCGTTGAGCAACTTCAGCATTTGCGGCAGGCCAAGTAGTGAGCCGCAAAGTCCGGCCTTCCAGTCTGATGTGGAGGACATCTCGCTAAGCGACACAGTCGACTCGACGGACACGTTTGATGCCAAACCTGGAACCGAGGCTTCCAGCCACCAAAGCGATACGTTCTTTAAGCTATTGTTTTACGCCTGTCTGGGCACATTTCTGTATCGAAACGTGTGGATGTTTATTCTGGCCGCAATTCCAGTACTGCTGCACCTTATCTATACAGTTGGAGATTATACAGGCATTACACAGTTTGCTTGCACCAAGGTCAACGAAGTATATGCGGCAATGCGGGTCAGTTTTTAGAATTAATTTTTTTTTATATAGATTAAACTAGATCTATTTCAGTTGTGGGCCATCGAGCACCACTCCGCCGTGCTGCCGCTATGCCTGCCTGGCGTTTTGGAACTGAACTATAAACTTAACACTATTGTGCGAGACTCACTAAAATCCTCCGTGGAGTCAGTTACCTCGATCCTCATGATTATCCTCATGCTGCTCATAATTGTGTTTCTGAGTGTGTTCTTTTGCGTAAACATCTACTCGGAGACGATTGAGGTGGCATACCTGGGCAAGGATCTAATTAACAAGACGATCACAGATCGGCCTGAGCTAATTGATATCTTGCCCGCCAACATGCAGGCGTCCATCGATGATGCGCTAGATAATGCGCACCATTATGGCCGCCGTAAGATTGAGACCTACATCGACGACTGGCTGGCAGACGCGGACAAGGTTCATGCCACCAAGCTGAAGGAACAGATTCTCGAGGTGTGGGACAGACTCATCCAGTACTGGATTGACTTCAACAAGGCAGGGAGCTCATACGGTCCGCGGGTACCCACGGATGCGCTGAAAAGCACTTTTGGCGAGATCGTCGACAATCCAGGTAGGCCATTTCTAATCTATTTAAGGCTTTTTTTTTAATTTTATTTGTCCCGTTCTACTAATTAATTTTTGAGTTTATGTATGGGGTTTTGTTTGGGTTTACGGGCTTTTTTTGAGTTTACGCTCGTTTCATCCATCCCGTAACACTAGTTTGCGTCCACAAAATAACTCATTCTGTGTTGCATTTGCTAACCAACGGACGTTTACTTAACCAAGGGCATTTTAAAGAGCTAGTTTTAGTGGCAAAACAGGGTATAATCGGCTGGGCGCAGAGCAACACGCAGACGATTCTCGAGGTCGCCGAGTCCCTTTGGCACATCATACGAACCAACCTTTCGATGATCATGGGTGTGACCGGAGAAATTCTATCCCTGGTGCTGTCTGGTGGACAGGCGTGCATTGAGTTTATATTAGACATGGTGAGTGTACATAAATTTGAATGTTCTTTAATTATTCAGATCTAAGTTAGTATTAAATTTGCTTTTTTAAATGTTGATAAAAAATGTATGCTATTCTCCTTCCTAAAGCAGAACACACTTAAGGAGAGAATTTATAAAATTTCTAATATCCAAAAATGATATAATGGCAGCGTTATTAGCATTTGAGAATACCTTTTTAACGACATATGTATATACATTGTCTGTAGCTTTAGTTGTTCAAAATCTATGAGCGTTTAAAGTTTATATTTATTCTTTCTGATTTCCGCTTAACTATCTAGTTTTTCAAAAAATCTTCGAACAAATTTTTTTTTATTGATCTGCTCAACACAACAAATTCCGGATCCTTAAATAAGTCCTTAAAATTTTTCCTACAAATATTTTGACAAACCGGCCCCAACGGCTCAAATTTTCAATGATTCACTTTCACAGCTCTTTTTTGTGAACCAATTTTTGTAAACAGCACACCGTTTTCTTTCATCGATAACTTTCGATTGGTGAATTACTCGTTATACTCGCATTATCACAGCAGATTTTCAATTCTGCTTGTACATATATATATTTATTAAGTCCCAAATTAAATAATGACTCCCAATTATTTAAAAATATTTTTTAGATTGTTTTCTTTACGGCTTTGTTCTATCTGCTCTCAAGCAGTCAGGAAAAGTACGCACCGCTGCAAATCACCAAGTACCTAGGCTATTCCAGTTCGGGAATAAAAATCGCTGATGCCCTAGAGAACTCCATTACAGTGGTCCTTATGTCCATGTTCAGGTGCTCAACATTTACGGGCTTGTTCACCTGGTTGGTTCACACGATCTTTGGGGCTCGGATAGTGTTTCTGCCCTCCGCCTTGGCGGCCATGCTGGCAGCTGCTCCTTTCCTAGGAAGTTACTGGTGTGCAGTGCCAGCCTTCTTAGAGCTCTGGCTTGCCCAGGATCGCTTTTATGCAGGACTCTTACTCTTCCTGCTTCAGTTCTTCGTGCCGTCTTCTTTTGAAACGGCCATCTACGCTGATCTCAAAGGGTAAGTCCATTTTTTAATAGGTTACAACTAATTTTTAAAATATGTTTTGTATATTTTCCTACGTTTTCATAAATTAGTGGTGGTCATCCGTATCTCAATGGTCTAGCTATAGCGGGCGGCATGTATTGGATCGGCTGGCAAGGAGCTATCTTCGGCCCTTTGATGCTTTGCTTCTTTATCGGCCTCTTCGAGGTTGCTACTCTGGCCATGCGCAGCCATCAAGAACCCAGGTAACTTAGACTTAAAAAGGCAATTTCGATGATTTTGTTTGATTTGCATGCAAAGTATGAACTTTATCAGACTTGTGCGGCCCAAGGATTGAAGTGAGTGTTTTGTTAGCTTGCTTTGAGTAGATTTCTCCTTGTTATATGCAGTTTAGGATAACTAATAAAAGTCCCTTACTATATTCCAGGCACAGCACTGATGAGGAGACAAGGACCACGTGAGTTAGCATGGAACAGAAACTACGAATTTTCTTATAATACTCCAACTGCAAACTAACATAATGGCCAAACATCTGACAATCAAAACAATTGGCCCTAGAGTAAGGCCTTTGACTATTGTTGATAGGTTCGCAGTTATTAATCTTTCCGATCTGCTAGTTTGATTCTTATTTGTTAAAAATTTGCAAGTGTTTAAGATTCTGTCTGAACAACAAATGCTCCTTAATATCTATGCTACTTTTCTTAGTTTTTTTTACATATAATATGTACCTCGAATTGTTTGTTTTCGCGAAACATTTCCAAAGCCGTGAAGTACCGATGGTGTGCTAGCTACTAGTTGCTTAATGTAAACTTGTGATTTGTTTAAACTTAAATACAAAATGTGTTGCAAATATATTTCTATACTAACTGTACGCTGCAAGCTTTTCTTTATTTGAACATTTTTTCCAGCTCAATCGCTCGCAAGGTCAACGAAACCGTCAGTGACAGCAGAATAAAAACGAACGATTCTCAAGATGGAAAAAATGAAGCCGGGGGAAAACCGGTTGAGCTGAAAATTGTAACTAAAACCAAAACATTTCACCTGTTGAATGCCAAAGAAAACCAGTAAACGGGTCAATAATAATTTATGCAAATAACAACAACATTAAAAACAAGTTTTGAAATGTGGATAAAATGTAAAAGCTTTATGAAAAAACTTTAATGAATCAAATTTTTTTTGTAATTAAGTTTTCATCAAATATTTTTCCCAGTTTTTTATACCTTTAAATATATAAATAATTATGTATACATATATGTATATATATAAGTTTATGTTTAATTGGTGTATTGATTTTTAAAGGTAAACTCCGGATGCCGTTCCACACTGCAACAAAAATAAAATATGTATTAAAATAAAGTCATTAAAGAAAAGTTCCATTTTTATACCCATGGAAGAATGCGAAGTCACAGATGCGAATGTTCTGATCCAGGCTGGATAACTTGGCCACCTCCTTCGCGGTTAGTTCGAAGTCGAATACATTTAAATTCTGCTTCAGCCGATCGGGATTTGTGCTTTTGGGAATGGCGCTCACACCAGTGTCGATGATCCAGCGGAGCAGTACCTGAGCAGGTGTCTTGCCATGAGCGGCAGCAACCTCCTTGACTTCGGGGATGTCCATTAGATCGGGCAGATCCCTCACGATGCCGGCACCCGAATTAAACTTGGCAATGCCCTTGGATCCCAGCGGGGAGTAGGCGGTTACGGTTACGTTCTCAGACTTGCAGAAGTCGACCAGATCACGCTGCTGCAGGTAAACATGGTGTTCAATCTGGTTGTTGGCCGGCCTGATCTTACAGTTCTTCAGTAGGCGGGCCAACTGGTCCTTGCTGAAGTTAGATATGCCAATGGACTTGGTAAGACCCTTTTCCACCAGCGCCTCCATTGCCACCCAGATAGCGGCGTGGTCGGTGGTCACGTCCACCTCCATCAGGCCATCCTTGTCAAGCTTAAGGTTGATAAAGATATATAAATGTATCAAATAGATAAAATAAAATTCGTTCCTCTACCTTAAAGCTGCCATCCTCGTTGATATTGATGGTAAAGGGAGTGTGCACTAAATATAGATCCACGTATTCCAACTCCAAATCAGACAGCGACTTCCTAATGTTGGGCTCCACCTCATGAGGTCGGTTGGCTTTAATTTAATTGACAAGTTAATTAGAAAGAACACTTTTAGAGCACTAGAAATTAATTAGAACATAGAATGTATTCGTTTCGGTTTTAAAATCGTTACCAATTAGGTTGCCCAACCACATTAAGTCGCAACATGTTGGTAAGAAACCTATTTTATTTTTTTTTAAGGAAATTTGGGAAAACAAGCATAATCTTATCTTCTGAATTTTGGTTCGTATAAATTCCAGATTATTATAATAATATTGCCAGCTATGGTGAAATATTTTGGAGTAATTAAATGGGAGAAATTTTTGTATGAATTTAAAGAATTTTTAGTTTTCGATTCTGTGAATATTTCTTTCAGATTTCGAAGAATTTCTTTGATTTGAATTTTTGATTTTTTAATTAAAACAAGATTACTCAGCTAAACAACTTTAGATTTTGCATTAACATAATGTGAATTAGAGTGACCACAGGAAAAAAGGACAAAAAGTTCAAATTATCAACTTGAATTAGGCGATCTCTTAGAGCTGGCTGCTTTACAGCACAAGCATCAGCACCAGCGCTGCTTTAGCGCAGGCAGCTTTTGTCCTGCACCAGAATACACACATACGCCATTGTTTGACTCAGACCTCCAATTTGGCTAACTTGATTTGATTTGCATAGTTCTTGGGATATAGTTCGGTATTGACAAATGAAAACCATCTCAATTTCCTTTAATAGAAATCCTTATCGAGAATTAACGTTGACTCTGTTGAGCACCTTGGCCAGCTGTTCCAAAGTCATCCGTTAGATGGCGCTATTGTATTGCGCAATCTACCCCAAGACATTGGTACCACGGGCCATGAAAGGCGGAAATGTAGGCGCTAGCCAGGCTTAAGCGTTTAATGAGTTTTTGGGCGTTAGAGTGGGCGTGGCCAACTTTTATTAGGTCAATCGATAGGTATAGACGAAACCAATACATATCAATTAAAATTTTCATAATAGCATCAAAACTGTGCCCACAGCTTGTAGCTTGTGGGCGTCAGAGGGGGCGTGGCACCATTTTGAAACAAACTTGCGCTGCATAGGAACTCCTAAAATCTACATGCAAAATGCCAATCTTCTAGCTTTTATAGTTTCCGAGATCTCAGCGTTCATACGGACAGACAGACAGACAGACAGACGGACAGACGGACATGGCTAGATCGACTCGATTAGTGATCCTGAACAAGAATATATATACTTTAAGGGTCGGAAACGCTTCCTTCTACATGTTACATACTTTTGCACGAATACAATATAACCTTTTACTCTACGAGTAACGGGTATAAATATACAAATGCACCTAGGGATGTTTTACTTACAAACAGGTGGCACCTTCGTCACAATGAATAGCTCCTCCCGCTTGACCTTTCCAGAGTCCAACCAGCGTTTAAGAACCCTTCCAATGGCCTTCTCATTGTCGTAAACTGGCGCAGTGTCTATATGACGATAACCTGCCTCCAGAGCCGCGTCGATGGCAGATTCTATTTCCTCATCGGATGCCTATGGTGTGGTGATGAACATGTGGTTTAGTGGTCGTAAGTAAGTATAGACTATATAGTATCTACACTGTATGTGAGCCATCTCCAGTTTTTTAAAGCTACTATTGTTTCCTAGGAGAGAAAGTCAAACACACTAACCCAGTCACATATAAATACAAATTGTTTGAGTTAAAAACCGGTCTAAGAACTCAAAACAAACACATTTTGGTTAATTGCATTGGAAGCTTCAAAAGATTTAAATGTCGTGTCAGCTCTCTGTTTTCAGGGCATTTATTAGTTGCAACAATAATAGTAAATATCCATTAACCACTACTAATACTCTTTAAAAATATAATTTAATAAAATCGTGATTATAACTACCTGCCAGGTGCCAATGCCTATCACGGGCATCTTCTCGCCATTGTTAAAGGTTAAGAACTTTTTGCAGGCCATTTATTGTAGATTTTTGATGAGACGAACTTGTTTAACAGAATAAGTGAAGATGGTGGGTTACAACCTGTTGCTTCGACGATTGAATTAGGAATAAAAATAGATTCACGCCCCATTCTGTATGCCAGTCAATCCAAACCGAAAAGATTTTGTCTTTTGCAATATACGGTCCTACTTGTGGATATTTATTTGAACAATCATTTAAAAATATAAATTACAAAAATAAAGATGGGGAAAACTTGATAATTATAACGTTTGAGTTTAAATTATTAGTTTTACTATATGAATTAGCGTTAATTAAAAAGTTCAATTTAGCTCAAGTTTATTGATTTCGCAAGAAATTAATAATTATACAAAATACAAAAAATAAGGAAACAAATTAAATTATAATTAATTGGAAAAATTGAAAATTATAACGACACTTGACAATAAATTATTAGTTTTACTATTTAAAGGTTTGTTTACTGAGTTCTCAAGAATAAAGTGATTATCAAATAATCTGCTAAGAAAAAAAAAATAATAATTTTTTATAATAATAATTTAAGTTATTAATATTGTAAAAAAGTTTGTAATAAAACTGATTTATTTATTATTCGAAAAAGCATTGATCCCTCGTATCGTATTAGAGAACAAATTTTAATTCACATCATAAATAAGACATGATAAAAACAAGAAATGAAGCAAACTTCGGCAAGACCAAGTTTATATACCCTTGCAGTTATTACAAATCAACTACATTTCGATTTCTATGCCTATATTACTAAAAACAATGAAGCTATTTCGATTTTGCGCTGAATTTTACCATAGCTTCTATGGCAACTTTTTGATATTGTTGTCAGATTTTAATTTAATTAAAGCCCTAATTCCATAATATTAAAATAATACCGAATGCCAAAGAACAAAAAAAAAATTAAAAACAACAAAGTTATAATTTTTGAGAATTTTTTTTATGATTGTTCCTATGGGAGCTATATGATATAGTCGCCCCGATCCGGCTCGTTCCAACTTACTTACTACCTGCAATAGAAAGACAAATTTTGGGAAAGTTTCAAGCTGATAGCTTTAAAACTGAGGGACTAGTTTGCGAAGAAACGGACAGACGGACGCTCGCAAGATCAACGAAACCGTTAGGAATAGCAGAATAAAAACGAAGGATTCTCAAGATGGAAAAACTGAATCCGGGGGAAAACCTGTTAAGCTGAAATTTGTAATGAAATTGAATGCCAAAGAAAACCAGTAAATGGGTCATTAATAATTTATGCAAATAACGACAACTTTAAAAACAATTATTGAAATGTGGATAAAACGTAAAAGTTTTATGAAAAAAATTTAATAAATCCAACTTTTTATATAGTGTAATAAAGTTTTCATCAAATATTTTTTTCCATTTTTTAAGTCTTTTAATATATATATGAGTTAATGTTTAATTGGTGTACTGATTTTTAAAGGTAAACTCCGGATGCCGTTCCACACTGCAACAAAAATTAAATATATATTAAAATAAAGTCATTAAATAAAAGTTCAATTTTTATACCCATGGAAGAATGCGAAGTCACAGATGCGAATGTTCTGATCCAGGCTGGACAACTTGGCCACCTCCTTCGCGGTTAGTTCGAAGTCGAATACATTTAAATTCAGCTTGAGCCGATCGGGATTTGTGCTCTTGGGAATGGCGCACACACCAGTGTCGATGATCCAGCGGAGCAGTACCTGAGCAGGTGTCTTGCCATGAGCGGCAGCAACCTCCTTGACTTCGGGGATGTCCATTAGATCGGGCAGATCCCTCACGATGCCGGCACCCGAATTAAACTTGGCAATGCCCTTGGATCCCAGCGGGGAGTAGGCGGTTACGGTTACGTTCTCAGACTGGCAGAATTCGACCAGATCACGCTGCTGCAGGTAAACATGGTGTTCGATCTGGTTGTTGGCCGGCCTGATCTTACAGTTCTTCAGTAGGCGGGCCAGCTGGTCCTTGCTGAAGTTAGATATGCCAATGGACTTGGTAAGACCCTTTTCCACCAGCGCCTCCATTGCCACCCAGATAGCGGCGTGGTCGGTGGTCACGTCCACCTCTATCAGGTCATCCTTGTCAAGCTTAAAGTTGATAAAAATACATGTATCTCTCAAATAGATAAAACAAAATTCGCTCCTCTACCTTAAAGCTGCCATCCTCGTTGATATTGATGGTAAAGGGAGTGTGCACTAAATATAGATCCACGTATTCCAACTCCAAATCAGCCAGCGACTTCCTAATTGTGGGCTCCACCTCATGAGGTCGGTTGGCTTTAATTTAATAGACAAGTAGTAATCGGTTTTAAAATCGTTACCAATTAGATTCATCCATCACATTAAGTATCAACATGTTGGTAGGAAACCAATTTCATTTTTTTTAGGAAATTTGGGAAAACAAGCATAATCTTATCTTATCTGAAGCCGTTCGTTTTTGGTTCGTCTAGAATCCTAATTATTATAATAATATTGCCAGCCATGGTGAAATATTTTTGAGTAATTAAATGGGAGACATTTTTGTATGCATTTAAAGAAGTTTAATAGCTTAATAGATCTTACATTTACCTAGGAATGTTTTACTTACAAACAGGTGGCACCTTCGTCACAATGAAAAGCTCCTCCCGCTTGACCTTTCCAGAGTCCAGCCAGCGTTTGAGAACCCTTCCGATGGCCTTCTCATTTCTGTAAACTGGAGCCGTATCTATATGACGATAACCTGCCTCCAGAGCCTCGTCGATGGCTGATTCAATTTCCTCATCGGATGCCTATGGTGTCGTGATGAACGTGTGGTTTAGTGGTCGTAAGTAAGTATAGACTATATAGTATCTACACTGTATGTGAGCCACCTCCAGTTTTTTAAAGCTACTATTGTTTCCTAGGAGAGAAAGTCAAACACACTAACCCAGTCACATATAAATACAAGTTGTTTGAGTTAAAAACCGGTCTAAGAACCCAAAACAAACACATTTTGGTTAATTGCATTGGAAGCTTCAAAAGATTTAAATGTCGTGTCAGCTCTCTGTTTTCATGGCATTTATTAGTTGCAACAATAATAGTAAATATCCATTAACCACTACTAATACTCTTTAAAAATATAATTTAATAAAATCGTGATTATAACTACCTGCCAGGTGCCAATGCCTATCACGGGCATCTTCTCGCCATTGTTAAAGGTTAAGAACTTTTTGCAGGCCATTTATTGTAGATTTTTGATGAGACGAACTTGCTTAACAGAATAAGTGAAGATGGTGGGTTAAAACCTATTGCTTCGACGATTGAATTAGGAATAAAAATAGATTCACGCCCCATTCTGTATGCCGGTCCCATGGATACAATAACATATGTTATAGTATGATGGCCGTTCCACCTAAACCGAACAGATTTTGTATTTTACAATATACGGTCCTACTTGTCGATATTTATTTGAACAAACATTTAAAAATATGAATTTAAAAAAAGATTGGGAAAACTATATAATTATAACGACAGTTTGAGCTTAAATTATTAGATTTACTATATAAGTTAGCATTAATTAAAAATTTAAATTTAGCGCAAGTTTATTGATTTGGCAAGAAATGAATAATCATACAAACAATTAAAAAAACTAAAAAAAAAAAAAAAATTAAATTATAATTTAAATTAATTGAAAAATAGAAAATTATAACAACACTTTGACCTTAAATTATTAGTTTTACCATTTAAAGGTTTGTTTTCCGATTTCTCAAGGAAATAATGATTTTCAAATAATCTCCTAAGAAAAAAAAGATAATAATAATAATATTTTTATTAATAATAATAATTTAAGTTATTAATATTTGTAAGTAAAAATTGTAATAAAACTGATTTATTTATTATTCGAAAAAGCGTTGATCGCTCATATCATATTAGAGAACAATTTTTTATTCACATCCAAACAAAAAGTAATCGTAGATAATACATGATAAAAATAATTAATTTATTTTCATATATAACAAACTAATCCACCACAATTGAGAAGTTGCTGTAAGTGAACTCTGGGATTTCAGTGGTGTCACTGAAGATGCACTTGTCGATTCTGCTGGTTGGGCTGCCGGTGTGCTTTAGCCATAGGCGCCTGCGAATAAGCCGTGTATTAACCAACGTTAATTGATAAAGAGAAAACCAACTATTTACATGGACTCAAAGGCATGTCGATGTGCTTGAATTTCGCCCTTTACTGTGTTTTCAGTGGTGTTCTTGCACCAGCCCCGAACTCCCAGCTTCTGAGCTCTTCGTAAAGTGTACTAGAAAAGTGGAAACGAATTGCAGATAAAAATGAATTGCAGGCCCGATGAGAGGGTAGGCAGCCGTGTTATTTTCCCGGGGCCCGCATTGGTCAAGGGCCCGGCAGCGAGAAATTTTTCTCCAAAATTTAGATGTTAAGAAAAATTGAGAAGGATAAATATAAATCAGAAAGTCCACTCTTGTTCTGTGACTAAACTCATTTAGTTTCTGAAGTATAAAACTTGTGTATAATTCAAATAAGAATCGAAAAAGGGCCCGTGTCCCGGGCCGGTGTGGCTCTCGACGGCCTTGTGAATATGTACATATATAATGAAGCTTTTTCCAGATTTTATAAGCTACATTCATTCCAAATATAAACGACCAGGTGCTGAAGAAATCTCTTCCAACAAAATTCCAATCTACCGTTTCTTGTTAAAGGCTTTACATTAATTTCATACATTATTTCTTACCATTCGAAAGGAAACGCCTGCAAGGGGTGTTAAAAACAATTATTATGATTGGCCAAATTCGTAGAAGGGTGCACCAACCTTGCACTATCCCGAACACTTCAAATTGGCATCTGAGCACCGGTTCATCAGATCTATCTGTTGTGGTTTCTTTTTTTTGGAACTCGCTTTCAGAAATTCTTTTGGGGTCCTCATTATTTTCGTTCTGAGAAATTTTTTTTGTGTCTTTACTTTTATCTGGTGTTGTTGAAGCGGGAAGCGTTACTCTACGCTTTTTTTCTGTCTGCGTTTCGGTGGATGTCATAATGAATTAAAATTTTACTACTTGTATGTTTAAGATATATAAAGCGCTAAACTGTCAAAAAGCGATAGGTCGATAGACGGAATTAAATATTATGCTGTTGTTCAGCCACCCTATATTTTGTACGTCTTTTTTTTTTGGTTCGAAGTTTTTTTTTAATGCATAGTTTTCCGCCAGCACAATTCAAGCAGAAGAAAAAAGCTTTGTAATTTAAGAATAATATACATTTTTTGATGAACACTTTTATTTATTATAAGCCAGGGACCGTTTCGGATTTAAGTTTAAGTAAAAATCAGAATATAATTATTATTATCCCTTTTTAAACCTTTATTAACGATCTCCCTCTAGTCTTGACAAAGTTGCGAGTCCTCATGTACGCAGATGACGTTATGTTATGCCTGCATAAAGCGAAATTTCCCGAAGTTAAGACTTACAATCGGACCTAAATGCTTTTCAAACATTGTTGTGAAATTTTTAATGAAAAGACCCTTCCATACACACTTGGTGCTTGTGCATTGACTAGAATCATGCATGTTGGCGTCCTTCTGGACCTAAAACTTAAGTTTTGTGGCCATATTACTTCTTTGGCGAATAAAGCCAAAAGGGTGCTCGGATTTATCAAAAGGTGGTTAAAGGAATTCGATGATGCCTATGTCACGGAGACTTGTTGCATTTCAAGTTGGAATCGGCTGGAAGCATTAAGAAGGAGGTATTCGTTTTTGGTAGGACTATCGATAAAGTTGGAGGGTGGCAACCCCTACTGGAGTGGCGCCCCCTTCTGCTGATGCCCTCGGCTATCTAGCTATTTAAACTAGCCCGGTTCGCTCTGGGTATGCCTAGGATGGCTTTGATATGTCCAATGACCCAATTTCGAGAGAGGCTAAGGGAATATGGCGATATAAGGATGATAGGCAGATTTTGATATAGTCGCAGCCATATTGTCCCAGTAGATGGAGCAGAAATTAGTTAAGTAGTGTTTGTGCCGAATTGAAGAAAAATGTGAGTGAAATTAGAGTGTTATGTTTTATATTTTATTTTATTTATAAATAAATTTCCATAGGGCAACCGGGGTCCCAACACAAAGGGCCCCGGGATATTAAATTGAAAGATTAAATTGAAAGACTAAATTGGAATATTAAATTGGGAGATTAAATCGGGAGATATAATTGGAATATTGGCATACATACATCTACGCACCTTCTTTCGACCCAGCGATACGATTTGGGCCAGCATAACGCCGCCAAGGCTTTCTAAAATAATCCTCAGCTTTGACCGCGTAAGTTCGAAGACGGCGGCCAAGTTTGGTCTTAAAGGCTAAGAAAAGATAAATTAATTACTAGGAGAGCCATTAATGTAAACTTTAGTACTTACGGTGATAATTAAAATGTATATGAAGACCGAAATGTGCGAGTGAGTTGTCGCTGTGGGGGAGATGGAGCTGTCCTAGTCGCGAGGAGTGACTCCGACCAACAGATCATGGGTGATGCCTCCGCAGAATCCTCCGGGGCATCCTTGGTTGGGTGGGAGTGTTTGGCTAAGTCATCGAAAGCCACCAAAACACCATATTTTTCCCGTCAATTATAATTATTTACGTTGTTTACATTTTGTTTGTTTTGTTTGTTAGTGATGAGCGATAGTTTTTGTGATGTGAGACGCGTGTCATCGATGTTTATGTTGTGGAAACTGTAGGGATATGGGGGGTACTACGCCCTGGGGATTCGGGAGCTAGCCGGCGCCGTCCCAGGACAAAATTCAGTTCCATAACAGACTATTCATTTCACTATTCCGTCCAATCCTAGAGTACTGTTCACCAGTTTGGAGTCCGCAGTATGGTGTACATATAGACCGGATAGAGTCTTAATTTCTATGGGGCCCTAATTGAAATGCAAGCCTTATTTCACTATCTTACTCTAAAGACTTCTTTTAATTTATTTACCATCCCTATTAAACCATAGAACCATGCTTGGCACTACTTTTATTCTTAAATATATTCACGGGGATGTGGAGAGTCCCAAAATACTGCGTCGCCTAAATTTTTCTGTGCCTAATAGAATTACCAGGAACTATATTAGTCTTACTTTAAATTATTGTACATCTAACTATGATATGCATGAATCTTTTGCCAATCTTAAAGCCCACTATCCAGATCGACGAAAACCGTACGCCAGTCATGAGAGAGAGCGAGAGGCAAACAGCTGGCGTTCACTTTTCGTCGGGCCTTTTTTTTAAGCCTAGTATCCAGATCGACGAAAACTGTCCGCCAGTCATGAGAGAGAGCGAGAGGCAAACAGCTGGCGTTCACTTTTCGTCGGGCCTTTTTTTCACGTCGGTCTCCTGATCGCCGAAAAAAATACCAGAAAATTCCATAGCGTTGCCAGTCTGCGGAAATAAACTTTGGGTGAACCCTAGCGAAAAGATTAAAAAATTTAATCTTTCGGCGTGCGCTTTTCACTGAACATTATAAGAAATGGAGGGAAAAATTAAAAAAACTCACAAAAGTCGATTGCAGGTGTTTACATGTGAGGACAAAATAACATTAATACTATTTGGGGTGCCTCTTGTCAGAGCAAAATGTTTTTTAGGTCCAGAATGTACGAAAAAACACAATAAAAGTGCAGCTATGAACTTTAAATCAGCAAATAATTATCAGTAAATTAAACAAAAACAGCTGTTAAATTTAAATTGTATTGTTTTTTAATTTCTTTGTACAGCGGCAGACTTGTCTTGCCAAGGTATTTGATAATATCTTTTAAAGGCTCTTTCCCACAAATACGATATTTGAATTTTAACTGCTTGTCAACAAACCCAGCTGATTGACAGTACGACCGTAGCACGCTTAAATCTGATGAACTCTCAAACTTTTGGTCACACTGGAAAGATTAAAGTTTTTACGCTAGCGTAATCGTTTGTCTATCTGGATACTAGGCTTTACCATCGGTCCACAGATCGACGAAAAAATACCAGAAAATTCTATAGCGTTGCCAGTCTGCGGAAATGAACTTTGGGTGAACCCTAGTGAACTGTTAAATTAAAAATTGTAATCTTTTGGCGTGCGCTTCTCGCTGAACATTATAAGAAATGGAGGGAGAAACTCAAAAAACTCACAAAAGTCGATTGGAGGTGTTTACATGTGAGGACAAAATAACATTAATACTATCTGGGGTGCCTCTTGTCAGAAAAAAATGTTTTTTAGGTCAAGAATGTGCGAAAAAACACAATAAAAGTGCAGCTATGAACTTTAAATTAGCAAATAATTATCAGTAAATTAAAAAAAACAACTGTTAAATTCAAACTTTTGGTCACACTGGAAATATTAAAGTTTTTACGCTAGCGTAATCGTTTGTCGATCTGGCTACTAGGCTTTTTTCACGTCGGTCCACAGATCGATGAAAAAAATACCAGAAAATTCCATAGCCTTGCCAGTCTGCGGAAATGAACTTTGGGTGCACTTTTATTGTGTTTTTTCGTACATTCTTAAAGCCTAGTATGCACTTCGACGTAAACCGTACGCCAGTCATGAGAGAGAGCGAGAGGCAAACAGCTGGCGTTCACTTTTCGTCGGGCCTTTTTTTCACGTCGGTCCCCTGATCGACGAAAAAAATACCAGAAAATTCCATAGCGTTGCCAGTCTGCGGAAATGTGAACCCTAGCGAAAAGATTAAAAAATTTAATCTTTTGGCGTGCGCTTCTCACTGAACATTATAAGAAATGGGGGAAAAAACTCAAAAAACCCGCAAAAGTCTATTGCAGGAGTTTACATGTGAGGACAAAATAACATTAATTCTATCTGGGGTGCCTCTTGTCAGAGCAAAATGTTTTTTAGGTCCAGAATGTACGAAAAAACACAATAAAAGTGCAGCTATGAACTTTAAATTAGCAAATAATTATCAATAAATTAAAAAAAACAACTGTTAAATTTAAATTGTATTGTTTTTTAATTTCTTTGTACAGTGGCAGACTTATCTTGCCAAGGTATTTGATAATATCTCTTAAAGGCTCCTTCCCGCAAATACGATATGTTCTGACAAGAGGCACCCCAGATAGTATTAATGATTTTGTCCTCACATGTAAACACCTACAATCGACTTTTGTGAGTTTTTTGAGATTTTCCCTCCATTTCTTATAATGTTCAGTGAGAAGCGCACGCCAAAAGATTAAATTTTTTAATCTTTTCGCAAGGGTTCACCCAAACTTCATTTCCGCAGACTGGCAACGCTACGGAATTTTCTGGTATTTTTTTCGTCGATCAGGGGACCGACGTGAAAAAAAGGCCCGACGAAAAGTGAACGCCAGCTGTTTGCCTCTCGCTCTCTCTCATGACTGGCGTACGGTTTTCGTCGATCAGGATACTAGGCTTAAATAAGCAGAAAAAATGCTACAAAAAGGCATGATATACGATTAAAATATTTTCTTTTATGATTTTTTTTCGGCGCATTTAACAGGTTTTTATCTTACATTTAAACGTGCTGCACTGGCAAATAAGCATGTATAAAAAGGAATAATAGATTTTGGTGCTTGATTTAAAACTGGTATGTGTGTCGTGCTTGGTTATCGGTGCTTTGAAGGGTCACCCTGTGGCGATTCGTTTGGAACCAGTTCCGGCCTGCCTTTGAACAAAACAAAAAATTTCCTACACAAAATAAAATAGAGCGAATATTACACGGAAGCTATTTAATCGCACTATGCATACCCTATACGCGCTGCTCAAAAATAAGCTAAGCGATGTGCACCCTCTGCACAACATTGATTTGGACCGAGATGTGGCCTATTTAAAAGCACTGGTGACCAAAGAGATGCAGCTGCAATTCGACGCCAGTGAACTGGGTGAGTAAACCTCCGATTTAAACAGCTTCCCATTGTCTCCATTGTGCTAAGTCACCTTCTGCGCACTTGCAGAGATCATCTACCACGGACGCGTGCTGGAGAATGCCGACACCCTCAGCCGTTCGCTGCAGCCCAACGCAGTGATCCACTGCTTTCGGAAAACCAAACGCTATTCGCCTTATGTGCCGCCAGCGGCCTCAGAAGTCAACACCAAACACATCCAGGAGCTGTTCTCGCTGACCTCGCACCTGCAGATCAGCGTGACCTCGCGTTTTAACATCCTGCAGAAGATACTCGCGGAGTATCCGGAATTCAGACGCAATCTGGGCGCGCAGGCACTTATTCGGGATTCGGTCCTTTTTAACATGTTGCACGAGCCGGAGGTTGTCCAGAATCTGGTAAAGGATTACCCACTCATCTGCGAGGCGGCTCCCTTTATTGTAGACACCATTCGCAAGGAGCTGGCCAGGAACAGCTCTGCCACCCAATGTAAGAATAGAATCTGTTTTTTTGTAGTTCATTGTAGTCTTACAATGAGTATTTTGTGCTCTACAATAGTGTTCGTAAAGAACTTAAACTATCCCTCAGTTTTTATTTAAATATTATGTATTGATATTTTTTTTATCTCGCAGTTTTTGTTATATTTTGTTTTATACGATTTTAGTCCCATTCTTGAATTTAATCAAAATCAGTCGGATAGGAAGTCTTTATCGTATAGCTGCAATGGGTAAAATTTAGCCAAACTCAACATTCATTTCGGCTTGCCGAAGCAAACTTTCTTTCTAGTTTTATTTACAACCTATTTTGCAACTTTCTAGTCCAAGAACAGGCTGCCTCAGAGTCCACCACTTCATCAGAAGAAGAGAACTCCCTGGGAGCAGGTAGTAGCAGCAGTGGTGGAAGCAGCAGCGCCGTGGCAGCTGCGGCTGCCGCCAATCGACGCGATGAAATAGCCAATATCCGGCAGATCAGCCGACAGCAGCTGGCCAATGCTTTGGCAAACGTTACTTCGTTCAACTCACTATCAAATATTGCCCAGCGAAATGCGGACGAGGCGCTGCAAGGTGATGAGAGGCCAAGGACCACTTCTGCGCCACAGGCAGGTGTTGGAGGAGTGTTGGGAACCGGAGCAGGAGGCAGCAGCGGAGCGAGTGGCAGCGGTTCCATCTCATCAGAGCTTTTCCGCAATGAACTGGCTCGCGCTTTTCAATCTCTGGCACAGCAGCAGCCGTCACCGGTGGAGAACATGGATGTGGAGTCAGCAGTAGCCCCAGTCCTTGAGTCAGCAACTGCCGACGATGTGGATGACGAAGATGATGGTGGCGATGACAGCGATGTGCTACCACGCTGCTACCGCCGACATCGCTTTACCGAACAACTGCGCACCATGGCTGCCATGGGCTTTATCAATCACACACAAAACGTAAATTTTTTGGAAATTTCCGATGGAAACGTAGAACACGCCATTAATCTCCTAATGATGGGCATGAACTAAAAATAAATTACATCAATAAACTTTAAAATTATTGACTAACTTTAAGGATAGAAATGATGAAGTAGGCACTTCTGGTAGTTGTTTGAAGTACGGATTAAGTATAATATTAAAAATGGTAACAACGGCAGGGCTTATGTCGGGATGAAAGTTTACTGTACGTGCTCTGTCCCGCAATCTACAACATATGTTTACACAAAGAAACATCCTACCTATTTTTATACCCTTCAAGAGGGTATTATAATATTAGTCAAAAGTGTGCAACGCAGTGAAGGAGACATCTCCGACCCTATAAAGTATATATATTCTTGATCAGGATCACCTCCTGAGTTGATATAAGCATGTCCGTCTGTCCGTCTTTCTGTTTCTACGCAAACTAGTCTCTTTCCTTTGCACGCAGTATATATGTCATATATATGCCATATAACTGATTGATCGGAAATGCCATAACTTTGGTGTTTGTAAAGTTAGGAAGCTGGGTTTTATATTTGGCCAATCAATCCGACCTATAAATTTTATAAGGATCGGCCGACTATATCCTATAGCCGCCATATAACTGATTGATCGGAAATTCCATAACTTTGGTGTTTTTAAAGTTAGGAAGTTGGGATTTTTTTATGAGTATTAAGAATGCATCATATGAATAATTTTGGAGAATATAATTTACAGAGTATTATGCAAGGGTTATCAACGGGCTCCGCCCGAAGTTAGCTTTTCAATTGGTGGGTAGAAAATCCCAACTTCCTAACTTTACAAGCACCAAAGTTATGGCATTTCCGATCAATCAGTTATATGGCAGATATAAGATATAGTCGGCTGATCCCGGCCGTTCCGACATATATACTGCGTGCAAAGGAAAGAAGGATGTGTGCAAAGTTTCAATTCGATATCTTTAAAACTGAGAGACTAGTTTGCGTAGAAACAGACAGACGGACAGACGGACATGCTTATATCAACTCAGGAGGTGATCCTGATCAAGAATATATATACTTTATAAGGTCGGAGATGTCTCCTTCAATGCGTTGCACACTTTTGACCAAAATTATAATACCCTCTGGAAGGGTATAATTAAAACGAAAGCTCGAGAGAGTTCCGCTAGATCAAGGTCGGGAAGATTTTTTAGCTTACAGTCTTATCCCTCTTGACAGACGCATGTTAGCTAATGGATATTGTTTTCCGATTTTGCAAAACACAGCAAGAAAAGAAATGATGCCTACCTCAACCTTGCGAAAAAAATCGTATTATTAAATTTGATTATAACCTATTCCATTTCGTAAATTTCATTCTCCCCTTTTGATTTTAAGTTCACCTATAAAAAAAATATGCATTCATAATTTTCTCCGTGTTAACTTAATCAATTCAGAAACCAGCAATCTTCCTAGGGTTTCCTTATTTTAAGAACCTACTTTTAGCTTTAATTAAAGAAAGAAAAAAGAAAATAATTTGTTGAAACGTTGTTGTGCTAACTTTACGGACTTATATTTATTCTGCTGCTGAGGATTCTGAAGCATTAAGCTCCCAACTTAAGTAAGGAATATCTCACGAGAACTTGTTATAATTAAAAATACATTTTAAGGAGCATCTTGGTAAGCTAATCGGGCGAAGGATGCGGGCGTTGGGTAAAAGCTGGCTGTATAAAAGATTTGCCCTGTATATAACTAGTTGATTAGGTAGTCCAGCGCCTTGTCCTTGTTATTGTTGAACCTAAGAAGCGCCGCTGAGATTTTCGATTCGTCAAAGCCCAAGTCTATAAGCTCGCCGAGTGGGATGAGGTGTTCGATAATCTGTAAGAAGAAAACAAATTTCCAGGGACCGCCTTTTGTCAGAGTTCCTTAAGAAGGCTTACCTTTTTATCATCAATTCCGCAGAGGCTAACTACCTTGGCCACCCGCTCCAGGGGAAAACCCATGGTGCTGATTCGTACCGCCGTCGTCTGTGCAGGACCTGCCAGCTCCCTGTAGGAGTTCCTGCCCACAGCCACCTCAATTTTTGGATGCTGCTCTTCGTTATGACTGTGCAGGCGCGTGCGTCGTTTCTCCGCCCTTTGCAACTCTGCCTTAAGCTCCCGCAGGATGTCGGGCACACTGCGCGACTTGGTGGTCACCTCGTCCTCCGCTTGACTAAGAGCCAGCACGGCGGAAGGCGCTGGAGGCGCCATCAAATGGTTGGACGTGCCGAATCCATTGACGTAGAAGTTGTCTGTGGTATTATTTTGCTGCTGGGGGGAGTAGAAAGGCTGATGGCTATACCCCTGCATATGGTATACCTGCAATGATAACCATTTATTATGTCAAATCTGACGATCGGATTAGCGTAAACATATATATCCAGAAGGTTGTTCGATCTTTTACTTTAAAATAGTTTATATGGCAGGTTATATAAACAGCAGTCGCAGTAGAGGATATATTTCGAATTCAAATTGAAATCAAACAAGAAAGGAAAGCTAACTTCGGGCGGAGCCGAAGTTGATATACCCTTGCAGAATATTCTGTAAATTATATTCTTCAAAATTATTCATATGATGCATTCTTAATACTCATAAAAAATTCCAACTTCCTAACTTTAAAAACATCAAGGTAATGGCATTTCCGATCGTTGAGTTATATGGCAGCTATAGGATATAGTCGGCCGATCCTTATGAAATTTGGTAGGTCGGATTGATTGGCTAAAACTAAAACCCATAGAAAATCCCTTCCTTACTTTACAAACACCAAAGTTATGGCATTTCCGATCAATCAGTTGTATGGCAGCTATAGGATATAGTCGGCCGATCGCGGCCGTTCCGACTTATATACTGCAAAGTTTCAATTCGATATCTTTAAAACTGAGAGACTAGTTTGCGTATAAACAGAAAGACGGACAGACAGACGGACACACGGACATGCTTATATCAACTCAGGAGAAGGTCCTGATCAAGAATATATATACTTTATAGGGTCGGAGATGACTCCTTCCCTGCGTTGCACACTTTTGACCAAAATTATTATACCCTCTGCAAGGGTATAAATATCGACTGGCTATGTGAAACACTGGGATTAAAAAAAACTTTTTTTAAAGTTTATTATATTTTAAATTATTTGTTGATTTAACTAAATAATGCGGTCCTACCATTGCTCTATCAAAGCTAAAAAACCAATCATTTTTTTCACGTTACAACTGTATTAAATTATGTTGCATTGAACAACAATGTCATTGGTGCTATCACAAACACAACTGCATACTACATTTTTGAGCCATTCCGTGGTATTTTCGGTAGCTTCGATGCCATTCGTTAGATTTGCAATTAATTTTATATATTTTGTAAAACTGTTGTGAGCAGAAAAAAAAGAAATTAAACAATTTTTAATTTTTCATACAGTTCCTTTGAAAAACGCTAAATAGTTTTGTTCAAATAATTCGACCATCTGACTTTAGCTCTTATGCTCTTTGGCACTACTTCGGAAACTAAATCGGAGTATGCACGAGTGCTTAGAATAGTCTATATAACCGTAGTCACAAAATCTGGATCTGTTATCCGGAATTATTAATATAAAATATGAACAGTGTATGAATAGAGGATTTCCTCTTTTATTTAAATAAATAATGGTAATATGGATTTATCTAAACGTTTAATGCAAACTATTTTTGAATTACTAACAAAATTGCGAATGCAAACAGGTTAACAGATTATGGGCATTCGTTCTTAACAGAAAATATCTAGCCAGGAATTTTTTTGGAGCACAACTCAATAGGGTCCCACCTGGAAGTGATCCGGTTTATTCAGCTGCTGCTGGGCGGAAGCGCTGTACATGGGCGTCAGGTGTAAAGGCGTGGCTGGAATGTGGCTTGGCTCGCACCTGCCTTCATCATCACAGTGAACATGGAAATTGACGCTGTCAAGCGTCGCTTTGGTCTCCGCCAGCGTAGTCATCGTTAGCTCCACAGGAACTGGCACATCTTGAAGCGGCTGCTCCTCCTTGGGGAGATTTTCTTGCTGCTGCTGATCCTTGCGCTCCTCGAGTTGGGTCTGGTGCAACACTTGAGCGAGTATGTCCAGATCGTTGATGGTCTTTAGCTCGATGTTGTCGAAGGGCGTGGAGTTCATGTTGTACTCGAAGTCTGCGTAGTTTAAGCTGCTGTTTCGCTTGTGCAGCGTCTGAGGACTGGCCACCGGCGTGGTGCTTAATATTGTGGGTTGCAAGATGTTGTGGAAATTGCACACGCCAATTGACTTTGGGTCATGCGAGCAGTGGCGGGTCTCTGTGGTCGGAGGTGGCTGCTCCTTCTCCTCCTCCGTATCCGACGACAGGTCGTCCGTACTGGGGTAGTCGACTGCTCCGAGCATTTCTCTCTGTTTGGCCTCCCACGCACGTTGCCCGGCCTCCTTGCGGCGCTCCTGGCGACTCGTGCGCTCCTCAAGTTGCTGGCGACGCAGTTGCCGCCATCGATGCGCCTGACTCACCACAGCCCGCTCCAGCTGACCTTCATACTGGTAATCCGGATGATCAACGTAGAAATCCTTTCTGAACTGCGACAGTCGATTAAGGGTCGACTGCGGGAGGTGAAAAATGGCCGGCGGGGGTTTGTAACGCTCGACTATCTTGACCGGGACATCGTCCATGTTATGCTAGCGCATTCACCACGAATTTTGTTAATTAAGTTGCTACTACGCGATTTTTCGCTCTCTGTTCTCTTTTGTTGTTTCCCCAAGAAGCAGCGATAGGCGATTAGCGATAGACAGTGTCATCGGTGTCTGCTGATTTGCTCCTTTCTTCCGCTTATCGTGTTAGTTAGGGGTGCTCGGCCAAGGTCCCGTTTACACATTTGCGGCGTTATTTAGTTTCGGGCTAAATTTAGCTTTTTAAGACAGGGGGACCATTGGTTCCTAGAGATGAAAAACTAATATAGATCCGCCGATTCACGTTTTTCTACTCAAACTATCTTCAAGCTTAGCAGCTTCATGTACATATATGCTTTTGGCTGTATGACAAAAGCTGTGCATGATGTACATAATTTGTTATCATATTTCATCCATTTCCAGCCTTCGTTTCCCATATGTTCTTTGTTATTGCTTGTAGTTGTTAGTGGTGAAGCGATAGGCTAAATAATCGACACGAAAACAAAATCAAGACGCTGGCCTTAGCCCAACTCAGTAAAGCCTAGTATTCAGATCGACGAAAACCGTACGCCAGTCATGAGAGATAGCGAGAGGCAAACAGCTGGCGTTCACTTTTCGTCGGGCCTTTTTTTCAGATCGACGAAAAAATACCAGAAAATTCCATAGAGTTGCAAGTCTGCGGAAATGAACTTTGGGTGAAACCTAGCGAAAAGATTAAAAAATGTAATCTATTGGCGTGCGCTTCTCACTGAACATTATAAGAAATGGAGGGAAAAACTCAAAAAACTCACAAAAGTCGATTGCAGGAGTTTACATGTGAGGACAAAATAACATTTATACTATCTGGGGTGCCTGTTGTCAGAACAAAATGTTTTTTAGGTCAAGAATGTACGAAAAAACACAATAGAAGTACAGCTATGAGCTTTAAATTAGCAAATAATTATCAGTAAATTAAAAAAAACAACTGTTAAATTTAAATTGTATTGTTTTTAATTTCTTTGTACAGCGGCAGACTTGTCTTGCCGAAGTATTTGATAATATCTTTTAAAGGCTCTTTCCCGCACTGTAGCATACTCGTTTGTCGATCTGGGTACTAGGCTTAAAAGTTAATTTCAGCAGAATGACTGGCAACGCTATGTAATTTTCTGATATTTTTTCGTCGATCCAACGAAATGTGTCGCCAGCTGTTTGCCTCTCGCTGACGAACAGATTTCGTCACTCTGAGTACTTTAAAATGTAATCTATTGAGCCGGATGATGGATGGATGGAACTTTAAATTACCGAATAATTATAATTAATTTAAAAAAAGACTCTAAAATTAACATTGTATTGTTTTTTAAATCCTTTGTACACCAGCAAACTCGTCTTGGTACTTCAGAATATCCTTTAAAAGCCTTTTCACGCAGATAATTTGTATACCCTTGCAAAGGTGATTTTGGTCAAAAGTGTGCAACGCAGTGAAGGAGACATCTCCGACCCTATAAAGTATATATATTCTTAGTCAGGATCGCGTCCCGAGTTGATATAAGCATGTCCGTCTGTCCGCCTGTCTGTCCGCCTGTCTGTCCGTCTGTCTGTCCGTCTGTCTGTCCGCCTGTCTGTCCGTCTGTCTATCCGTCTGTCTGTCCGTCTGCCTGTCTGTCTGCCCGTCTGTCTGTTTCTACGCGAACTAGTCTCTCAGTTTTAAAGATATCGAATTGAAACTTTGCACACACCCTTCGGTCCTTTGCACGCAGTATATAAGTCGGAACGGCCGGAATCAGCCGACTATATCCTATAGCCGCCATATACATAACTGATTGCTCGAAAATGCCATAACTTTGGTGGTTGTATTTGGCCAATCAATCCGACCTATAAAATTTCAAATCATCGGCCGACTATATCCTATAGCTGCCATATAACTAAACGATTGGAAATGTCATAATTTTGGTGGGGCTTTTATGGCTTTATTTTTGGCCAACCAATATAATTTACAGAATATTCTGCAAGGGTATATCAACTTCGGCTCCGCCCGAAGTTAGCTTTCCTTTCTTGTTATACCCGTTACTCGTAGAGTAAAAGGGTATATTGTATTAATTAATTAATTATTTATCCCACGGGTCGTCCCTCGCAGTTGCAGCTTATCCAGGGGGGTGCGGGTGGCAAGGTTCGTCGCTGTGGTGGTTGGCCGGCTGGCCGTAGAATTCTCCAAGATGAATTACGAAGATTATGTTGGAAGGGTGACTGCCCTTCTTTACCTGCTGGCCTAGGGACTCAGACAGTTTTTCAATAATAAGAATTTAACGACGGTAGTCGGAGTATAAATTGTATGAGCGACAGCTCTTTATTCATATAAAGTCAAATCTAAACTGAAACTTAAAGCTAACAAAAAAGAGACTCATAGCGGCCACTCCAATGGGTAGTCTTTGCCGGCTATGCACGAGCTTCCGGCCAGACGCTGTGTCAGCAATTTGGCCGGAGCGAGCCTTCGGACGATCGGTCATTGCCGTCGCCCGGTTAACTTAGTTAACTACTCCCCCCTCAGAATTAAGGCTCCCCTTTGGGCAATCACCTGCCTTAGCTGGGCCGTGGATCTCCTGGCCTGGGTGACTCGCCGATAAGTGAGACCGACGCAGATCAACGCGCAGCAGATCGCTCCTGCGATTAGCATTATCTGGTGTGAACGATAGCCGTTGATATCTTCCCCGAATTGTTTAATATGTTCCAAGTTACGCTCACTCAAGCGGTGAAGGTATGGAAGGCTGAGAATGTTATGCTCCAGAGTGATGTTCAGGGAAGGCGAGCTAGCCACTCCTGGTACCCTTTTCCGGGCCACGTCGTGATTGACGTATCGGGTTTCGTTAACCATGGCACTCTCAATGAAGGTGATGAGGTGAGTTCCTCGTAAGTGGACGTAAGTGCCGTTGTCCACCCTCACACGAGCTGGACGATCGTTTATGATGATAATGCCTTCATCTACGTGGGTGATGGGGTGCAAATCGCTATGCTGGATATCGCAGTGCGCAATACCCCCAGCGTGGAGTTCTTGGGCGCATGATCTTCTCAGCGCCAGTTGACAAAATGTGGCTCCAGGTGACACGGAGCAGTTTTTGACTGTGTGAATCTCTCCGTCGCAATCTGCTATGACCTTGTCCTCCAGCCTGAGTACTGTGTCATGGTGTGACACGGGAAAAACTGTGATCTTGACACATGCTGACTTAATTTTTGGAAATTTAATAATAAAATGTAAAATGTTAACGGATTGTAATATTTTGACAGACGCAACGGACAGTATATCTCTAATGGGGGTATCTGTGGGCTCCTCTATCCACACACTTTCCAGGTCTGCATGATCTAATATGCTGGGGCTAACTATATTGATTTTGGCAAGAGCTATTGCTAGCAATAAACTCTGCAGCTCCATCGCAATCATCCTATTCCGAGATAATAACATCTCGTATAGGTGTCCCGTATCAACTTGGGATTTTTTAGCCGACCTCAGAATTTGGTTGACAGTGGTGGTAATACTATTGATTTGTTCCTGCACTTTGTTGTTAATATTTATCTGTCTATTGTTTGCATTGATAAGTTGAAATTCAGTAAGTTTAATGTTTTCGAGGTCTTCCGCGTCTGGCGTTCCCGCCACTACTTTTAACGCCGCTCCCAAGAAGTCTAAACTCCTGGCTACCCTATGGTGGATGCTTAGTGATTCGAGAAGGTCACGCAGGTGACCGACATCTACGATCAAAAGCTTTTGCATGTGGGACTGGGGAAACATGTTAATCATGTCACCAGTTTCCTCCACCACGCGCCTATACTCTGAGAGATTCGCTGAGTGTCTCAAAAATGCGAATTCTTCCCATACTAAAATTCGTCCATCAATGATGGGAATGTATTTGGCTTGCGAGTAGTCCGTGACGTGCGCCGATGTCAGGGCAAAAAGGAATAGCAGAGGTATGGGTTTAAACCTGTAATTTTGGATTTGTTGTAGTATTTTATAACATTTGGGTAGCCCACCACCAAACATATGAGATAAAGCGTAAATGAGTTATGAGTACAAATAATGGTAATGAAACATGATAAGGACAAAAACTTATGCCAAGTGGCTAGAGATAAAAAATGGAAAAAATAGTAAAAAATTATCAAGCGAATGACAACATGTTTGTGTCTCGCCTACCTAAGGTTGTCCTTGTGGACCACCCTCCCCTTAATGAGGACTGTGGTCCCCATGTCCGCTTCCACAGTTTTTTCTTCGCATAACGGTGAAAGCTTGTTGCCTAGTCTCCTGTTGGATTTCACTAGGACTTTGTCGCCGACATTGAACACTCGGTTTTGTCGGGAGGTATTTTCCCTGCTTCTTAGCTTATTTTGGGCAAGTCTAATCTTATCCTGTATTTCGCAATGCGGGTCACTTGCTTGTGTGACTACCACGTCGGCCGGTCTCCTATCGATGACCGAATGGATAGACTTGTTGTACTTAGACGTAGCCAGCAAGATCAACTCTACAGTGTCGCTTATGCCTTTGTCGATTTTAAGGCATCTGGCAAGCTCCACCAGAGTGCTGTGGAATCGCTCCACTTGTCCGTTCGAGACGCTGTGGAGTGGCGGTGCATTTGAAATGCTAACCCCGAAGTGATTTTCCAGCATGGCCCGAATAGTGTGCGAGTTCAATGAGGGTTCATTGTCGCAGTAAATGACTCTGGCTTTAGGGAAGACGTTAAGAAGTTGTAGTAAAGCCGGTTTGAGATCCTCTATTGTTCTAGAGGGAATTGGTTGGACCATTGCAAACTTTGAAAATTTGTCAATGCATGTGAGGAAGTATTTCTTATCAGTGGAGAAAATGTCTATGTGTAGCATTTCTCCCACATGCGACGGTACTGGCGTTTCGCCGAGTTCGTGTTTTTTAGGATGCCTGTCATATTTTGCTTTAGCGCAGGTCTTGCAGTTAGTGACGATTTCATTCGCTAACTTGGTCATTTTCGGGAAATAGTATTCCGAAAGTACCTGCTTGACATTCTCCTGTGCAGATCTGTGAGCCCTATTATGCTCAGTGGTGAGGATTTCTCGTCTCTCAGCGACTGCGAAAATATCTGTAATACGGTTTTTACAGTGCCAGAATTTGGTGGCTGGGAATTGCCGGACCAATTCATCCTGTATCATTGCCAGCGTATGCAGATCGCAATGAATGGCGTTTACGCCTTTGGGGACTATAACGTCCGCGAGCTCCTCAAGCAGTGACTCCTTGCATATGAAATCAATGCTGTGCCGTCTCTTGTTTCCGAAGAGCACGAAGCTGCGTTTACACGGAAAGCGTGCTTCCTCCAGAGTTATCTGGTTCTGAAAGCAATTCAATGGCTTATCCGTGGTTTCGATGGTGTGTGTGAGCGACACTTCACTGTGAATAGTGGCCGCACACGAATAA